TATTAGGTGCTCATACGGCTATTAACACAATGAGGATCTAAATTCTGCTTAGGACTTTTGTATATATGCCTATATATAAACAAATGAAGGCAGTTACTTTCCATGTGACCAAAGAATCCTAACGTGCTGTGAATTTGTCAGCTCTGCACAGGTCTGCAAAAAAGCCTTTCTAAATCAACAGAAAAATAACTTTCCCCATGAACATGCTTTTAAGATTTCTAGGATAGCTTGGACGTGTGGCTTCTTGAAGCTGCTTAAAATCTTACCAAAAATAACAAGATACAAGACTCAGGCTAAAATGTCTTATTTTAAAACCGTTATGACCACAGAAGGAACTAAGAACTTCTCAAGAGCAGATATCCCCACATTATTTCTTACATAGAAATCTTGAGAGAAAGTGGAAGGATTCTGAAAAGGCTTCCTGTCCCCACAAGTTCACCCGGAGAAGATGCTGCTGCTTTTTCACATTCAGTTCTCACCTGTTTATTCTTAACTCAGTGGACACACCTTTGGGTTTTTTCGGTGAGTTACATTCCTGCGAGTCCACTGAGTCATAAAAGTTTAGGTGAAATTAGGCTCACGAGCTAACCTGTTTCCACTGCCTACATTTCTAAACACTTCAGAAGGAGTTGAAAGTGAATTATGAAATACATGCTGAGATTGCCCTAAAGAGAAGCAGCTACATTAGCCCACAGTGGCTTCTGTTTACGTACTCTGCAGATCCGTGGATGCTCCTTTTGCACGCCCGCTGGCAGGAGTGTGCATGTCTGGTCAGCCAACGGCGAGCCTGTCTTGCCAGGCACAGGGCTAGATGGACCCCAGGGAAGACAGAGCACAGAGCCTTCTGTAAGCAGCTTCCACAGCACCTTTACCTACTTGGTTTATTTCTTGTATGCAAACCTGTGCATGCGCTTACTACTTTTTTTAACATAATTTGTCCATATTTCTTTTTCAGTTGACATATTTTCATTTCCATTTGTTCATTTCTGGAACTGTTGTATTTTCAGTTGATTTCATAGGCGGACTTGACACATACTCCTACCGACAGCCCCCCCAGGAACATGTTGAGTTAAAGCCTGTAAAGCCTGTAGGTAAGGTTCTGGTCCTATGGACCACATTAATCCTTCTAACTGGACTGAAAGCTAACCTTCTCCTGAAATAATTTTGGCATCAGGTTACTAATAATTTAATTATATTTTAATTAGAACTTAATTAAAAATTAATCCACATAAAACATGCAAGTAAGGACACTTTGTCATTGATGACATATCTGCTAAAGCAGGGATTAGTAGATATCACCATGTCTGCCATGTCGTGCCTTGGCTTAACGCAAGGAGAGGCTCACAGTGAAGGATGGAATTGCTTCCCTGATGACTTTTTAGCAAGAAAAGAGCTGGTTTATGGCTGCTGCTGCTGCATAAACCTTAATGAGATTAACCCATTTACGGAAAAGCAGAAGCTTTTACATTTGTCTAGCTACTGAAAGAAAAAGGTTTGCTGAAAAACTGCTAGTCAGCTTAAAATCTATCTATCTGTAGAGTTTCACTGGAAGTTCATTATCTCTTTGTCATCACTCATGTGCTCCAGCCATGAAAACCACATGTTTTCATAGGCTCTTCCTACTCTGCTACCTAATGAATAATTTTGGATGCGTATCTATTCATTTTATTTGGAATAAATTAAGATATGGGGAGGCATTACTAGTACATATATTTTGGCAGAAGCTCAGATAACTTCAAATAGATGATATTTCAAAGTATTAGTGGTAAAACAGAAGATGTTCATTTGGAAATTCTTCTTAGATACTTGTAAATCGTTGCCCTGATGCTTTCTGTCTTTAAATTTACCTTCGGGCCATTCGTGCATCTTAAATGTAACATGAAACCCACGTGCAGCTAATTGACTGAAACTGATTTAATGACTTACTGTATTTTACTTACCAGCTAAGAGAATTAAAATGGGTTTGAAGGTTTTTCCTGGTGTACACATGTGTGCATGTGCTGGGAGTTTTAAAGTGGACAACTGCTAATCAAATGTTTTGAGTGGGCACTTGACACCTGAACTTTGCTTGTGTCTTCATTAATTTTTGCATGGTTTTTAAATATATTTTATTCATGCTTCAGCTTTCAGTTTGTAGAAACAAACACAGCAAACTTTCAGTCGAATTTAGTGAGTAAATATTGTAGGATTATGAAGGCTTGAAAAGGAGAAAAGCCCTATCTCAGTATGACGGTGTATGTTAGAACAGGAAGAAATATCACATTAAGACAACAAAATGAAACAATGAACAGTTTGACATGGCATTAAGTACACCCCCTACATTGGAATCTGCATTTCCAGTAGCGTTTCATTAAATGCCAATTTTGCTGCATTTTCTGTGGGAAAGATGACAGCAAAAGGGGTTTTTGACCGTTCTGAATAAGCTGCAAGAGACTGAAAAAGTGAAATTGGTATCCAGGAGGAAGAAAGCCACAGCTACAACATTTACACCTCTTCATAAAAGATTTTAATCTCTAAACATGCATTGAGGTTAATTTTAAAGTATTAGGTGAATAAATGTTTAGTACTTTCTTAATAAACTTAACTATAATTAAAGGAGAGAAAAAAAAGACATTTTTACAAAAGACACATATATACGTTCCTGCAAAATCTGTTCATTTGTTTTGCAGTAGGAAAGTCACAGAATCTGAGCATTTGCTCTTTGATAACAGGTTTTGGTTAAGTAGCTCAAAGGATTTGGGGGTTGTCGGTGAGCTTGCAATACTGGAAAATAGATGGCATCTTCCCATTTCCCATGTATGGGTATTCTTGTACAGCTGGGAGGACCCTCTTTGGCCTCTTTATGGCTGCTAGGAGTGTAAAACTGGAAGAAAAATTATATTGTGTTTTCTTCTTTATTGATGTTTTGCTTTTATGCACTGAAAGATACAGAGAGGATCTTTACCTAAGCAGGGAGGAAAAATACTATCAGTGATCAAATTAAAAGCCAAATTGCTGGAAACAATTTGAGTAGTCAGTGGATTGTGCCAGAAACTTGGAGATGCTTATCTCTCTGCAGCACATCAGCCTTCTTGACTTCTTTTGATAAGTTAATTGCTATCTGTGTCAGTTATATATAGTCTGAGAATCCATAGTATCCCTAAGACATGTGTCTTCTGGTATCCAGGCTGTGAAAAACTCCATTTCTGTTCTCTTAGAATTTAACATGAATAATGCTTGTTAAATACATGCAAAGCCTTAATAAATGTTACAGATATTTTGCCATCCTTACCACTTTACTCATGGCAAAAATTAGCGTGATGCTTTTTATAGATGAAAGCTTGCCTTTATTTCCCTTTTTCTCACCCCTTTTATTTCCCTTATTTCATTCATAAATTAACTAAACATAGCCCATTGAAAATACAAGGTTCTGTGGCCTCATCCAAACTATGTAGTCTGTTTTTGCTTAGTACTCATATTCAGTATAATGTCTGCTTAGTGCTGCCATAATTATTAATGATTAGCAAGTCTAAGATTAGTTTTCCTTTTCACCCCTGAGAAGAGGTTAAATTTGAACTTATTCTCTCGGGGAACATTTTTTAATGCAAATATGAATGATCATAGTTTGTCTGTGCTTTTCATTCTGCCTATAAAGCCACTAGGCTACCGGACAAGGAGAAGCAGGATCTTTGCCCTGAACAGTGCAGTTTCAATTAAGATGTGTGTAAGGCAGGAGACAACAGAGGGAGTGGAAAAAAAATTGTCATGTTCTCTTTGGGACTAAAGCACATGGACTATAAAGAAGACTGTTGTGTTTTCATCTGTTTCAAGCACAATATCAAAAGCCAGGTCACTCGGTAGTGATTAGAATTACTTCATGTACTGCTACATGGAAAAGAGAGAAGCATGGGGATTAGAAGAAATTAGGACAAGAGAAAACGGCCTCAAGTTGTGCCAGGGGAGGTTTAGATTGGATATTAGGAAATATTTCTTCGCCGAAAGGGTTGTCAAGCATTGGAACAGGCTGCCTAGGGAAGTATGGAACATCCCTGGAGGTATTTAAAAGACATGTAGACATGGCGCTTAGGTACATGGTTTAGTAGGTTTAGTAGTGGACTTGGCAGTGTTAGGTTTGCGGTTGGACTCGATGATCTTAAAGGTCTTTTCCAACCTAAATGATCCTATGATTCTGTGATCCTATAAGGAAAAAAATAAAAAGTTGCATTTTGGCTTGCATTATGTTTTTTTATCATCATTATCATTGTCATTATTATTATTAATGGTTTGCAGAAGTTAAAGTTTACATGTGCCCCATTCCTGTTTGGATGAGTAGGTCTGATCCAGTGCTACTAGTGTCCCCAGCATTTCTAAGGGCATTGCTAGCTTCTGCTCATGGGACTAACGCGGTGTCTGAGAAACTCTGCCAGTGGAGAGGTCACTGCTCTGTGATGGGTCTGTGTGATCCCATCCTGTTTGCATCTTCTCCTGAGGCTCTACCCACTGTAAAATCTCTATGAAAGACCATCATAGATTTTCCAAGATTACACAAGTGAACATGGTTTACAGTAAGTCATGGGAGAATATATAGATTCAGCAGGAGTGTGATTGCAGTGAGGACTATAAATAGTGTGAGTCCAGCTCAAATGTGCATGTTTGTACTCAGGTCATGTCAGAATTTTATCACCTGGTGAACATATATCTTATACTGTTAAAATATATTATGCTGAAAAGGATCAATTATTATGTGAGCTTCAGACATGTTTCACTATCTGTGGTATTTTTCCCCAAATGTTTTTTGCCTTTGTGGTATGCATGAGACAAAGCTACCCCTTTGTACCCAGCCATTCATTCTTGACCTTATATGTGGGTCTTACAGCTGAGGAAATTAGTCACCAGAGGTGTTTTATCCACTTGTTCATTAGTTACTAACCTGTCAGCTGGTGTGAATTTACATCTCACAAATGAGAAGATAAACAGAATAGGTTTTCCTTTTTAAGTAATTCATATATTCTGCTTTTTAGGTCGAAGTAAGTAATGAACATGGACTCAAGACTTGTGCTGCTGTAGCTGAAGAACCAGATTTTAGAAGAAAAGACCAACCTTGTGATTCATCATTCTGGAAGAAACCCACCATCCGTTTCTCACGGCACGTGGATTGTTCTTCCCACAGGCTCAGTGTCGTTATCAGCATTGTTATTTCGTAGACCCTTGTAGATGATCTTGAATTTTTGAATAATTTACTTATATGGACACTTGTAAATTGTAAATTTTTTCTTTTTTAATTTCAATATTTTTACAACATTTAGTGTTAAGGCATGAAAACAAAACAACCTGTGAAAACTAGGAGAAAGGTGCGTCTTTCTCAAAAAAGTCAGTATTTTTTGACTGATAGAATCATACTGTGCCTGGTCAAGATTGTGTCAGTGAACAGTAATTCTGACTCCAAAATATGCAGCAGGAGTCAAACTCTAACAGTGTACAAGAGATCATTTCAATGCTGTGTTTAGAATTCATGATGTCCACTCCTTGCATTGTTTGAACTGCTGTATGCAGTAGGAATTGATCTATGACTCTTCTTACCCAGATGTTCCAGCACTAATGTACTCATCTAATTAGTGCAACTAATATATGGCTCCTTCTCCCTCCCTAATCTCTTTTGCCCTGAGCCCACCACCAGTAGCTGTCTCTGATTTGAAGAGAAGTAGGACGACTGCTCTATGGCTGTCGGTCTCTAGGAACCCTTACATCCAGGGCTCTCTAGATGTCTGTGTTTTGCACATTTTTGAACTCTTTTCCTCCCTTCTCCCAGAAAGAAGCCAAGCATGAATGTACAGTACAAGGCACCAACTGAAGCCTTAGAAGCCTCTGGGGACTAATTTTGCTCTTAATTTAAAAGTAAACAAACAAACCTGAAAATGTGTGTAAAAATTTGTAAAGTTATTTGTAAATACTTCTAGAGAAAGAACATGTATGTAACTGTGGTATTTTGTTTTCTATTCTGTTTCCACTAGCATAAAGTGATACACAAAGTTATTTTCTCTGGGGAACTGGCAGTCTTTTTAACAGAATGCTTTGTTTCTTTCTTTTTAATTACTATATAAAGTGCTGTGCACAGTTGTATGCCCCAGAGAGTTATGTCTCTCCACAGAGCCTATGTGCCTCAGCATTCAGTGGAAACTTCATCAGGGTTTTGGGACTGTTTCTGGTTTGGGGTTTTCTCATTTTACGGTTTCTTTGGTGGGACTGTCAGGAAGGATGTTCCTTCTGATATGTGTACCTCTACCTCTCCACCAGAAGCTGAACAGAGGTCCACTAGGTTCCTTCATAAATATCCTAAACAGTCTTCAGCTGGTAAGTTCTGGTCCAACAACATTTAGATCCTAAATTTGCAGTCTTCTCTTGAATCACGTATTTTCAAGTCTGAGCAGATGAGAGCTAGAAGAAGGCTTGTCTTGATTCTCTCCCTTCTAAAGTCTATTTGTGGTGTTTATCGATATGAACCTAATGGGGATGCTAATAAATACAATGGAGGTAGAGTCTGTCATTTTTAGGTGACAAGGCTTTTGTGGTGCATCCACCTGTTTCCCAGCTAGTTAAATCAAAGACCTCACCATCTTTGGAGAAAACACAACCTGAACATAGGTTAACCTTCCCTGAAACCGAGTATGAAGTACGTGTTACGACAAAGTCAATAGAAACGACAACTGAATAAAACCCCCTCTTAGTATTCCTAGGACTGGATATACCTCAAATGTTATGTCTGTGTGTGTAAAGTCAGACTGTGCCAAAAAGAGGGATGCTTTGTATGAAGATAATGCCATCTGTCCTTGTGTATTTGTGTGTTCCCTTATACACTCTTTTCCCCTATATTCTGGAATACTGCAAAGTACCAGGTTTGTCCCATCTTGAAGATCTCATCTTAGCACTAAAAAACAGGTAGTTTGTCACAAAACTAATATGAATAATATCATTTCTGAGGCATCATGAAGAAGATACAGTGTGTACTGCTTTATAGCTGTAATATTTTAATAAGGTGAAAATATTTATATATACTTCTGTAATATTTTACTTCTGCTTAGCACGAAAGATTATTTTGTTCTTTACATGATGCCTTAAACAATGATGATGTCTACCTAGCCAGTGCCCGCAGCCTTCTGTGTTTGTGATGGCTCCAGAACTTTGGAGGCGGGGATATCTGAGCATCTAGCACAATGATTCCTATGATCAACACAGTTCCTATTTTGGCTTTACGTTTCAGCATTAATTTCCTGGCATTAATTATTATGGCCTGGCAGATTAAAGGCCTCCAATTGAACCTAGTGTTGCCCTCATGACCAGGTGGGAGGAAAGGGAAGGAGCGCTACATCCCCGCTGGTTGCACAGATTCACACTCTGTTCTGGCAGAGCTTTGGAAGCGTCTATTTAATTTTCTACCAAGACAGACACATCTGCTGGACCATGTTTTACAAATTTGTCTGAATGTGTCTAAACCCTGCCTTTCTGTGGGTCCTTCAGGTTTTCAGCTTGCTAACAAAAAACTGTGTACATGCCACAAAAGTTCTGCACAGACAGAACCTGATTTCTCTTCCATCTGAAATATCGATCACTTTTTAGATGAGGAACACAAACCAGTATCTCCCAAATACGCTTAAAATCTCGGAATCGTTACCAATACAGCGAGTCTGCTATCTGTCTCACTTAATGAACAGAACGACCCTGATTGAGCGGAATTTGTCTTCATTAGAACAAGCCAAAACGCACGCTGCAATGCTGAGGGAAACTGTTGTTCTTTTCTAAATTGAGACACAAAGAATAGTACCAATCAATCTGTACATGTTGGGGAAAAAAATCTTGAGAATAATAAATGGATCTGAATGTTAATTGCTGTGTCCTCCAACGCAGTAGAACATATTGGCTAACATTTTTGTAGGAAGCCTTGAGCAGTATTTCCTTTATTTTTGCAACACATACTTTCAGTAAGGTTTTAGGTGAGTCCCAGATCAGCCATCTACATAGGAAATAAGTGTTGGCTTTCTAAATAAACTTGGATAGCTTTCTTAAGCTTAACTGTAACATTCAATTTTAGGAAATGACTAGGTTTGTACTGCAAAACAGAACTTGCTGACAATCTTAAAACCTCAGAGCAGATTATCAGTTGGTATAAACTGTTCTGGTGGCATTAATAAGTCATACTGTAACAACTTAGAACAGCTGAAGATCTGTCCTTCAAACTTTTAGACTTTTTTTCCTTTCCCCAAGCTTCTGCTTAATTCAAGCTTTACGTAGAATCAGATTTGCAACGGTACTTTAACTGATAGCAAAACTGGAGATGTGACTGCAGAAATACGGCACTACATGTTCACTGAGGACTGAGCCAGGTACCACGAGTTTTGTAAATGAGCAGCTGATGTCTTCAGGACCTGGAAACAGGAACTATATCGAGAAATGAACAGAATTTTTCCCTGGTACAGTGACATAGAGTGATTATATATTACAATTTCTGGTGTTGCTGGAGGAATTATTGGTTGGGTTGATGTCCCCAGCTCTTTCCTATCCATAGAGATTTTTTACAAAAAATTTGAAACAAATAAATTTTTTGAAGTTCAGTTATGATTTGAAGGAACTCTCTAAAACAAAACAGTTCATAGCCTGGATTTGCTGAAGGTTTTTATTAGTGCTAGGATATGACATGAGCTACTAAAAATAATTTTCAATAGAACTCTACCAGTTAAAACCCTGGGTGTTATGCCTGGTTTTATTTAATACCTGCTTTCTTTCAGTAGTGCAGAAGATGGTATTAAGAAGATGGTATTTACCATATATTAATAAGGATATTAGAGTTTGAAGCTAGGGGTATGGTTGCTGGTCAGCATGTGACAAGACTACCTTTTCTTGTTTAAAGCCTGAGAACACATAACTGGACCACTCAAAAGCCTGTAGTCCTGCCCCAAAATGGCAGATTTTAGCCCGAACAGCTGGTGGCTTGTGTCTTTCAAACACTTTTGAGTGTAGGCTTTCTTTGTTTGCAGCTGCTGTGCAGGGATCTGCTCCACGTTTGGATCTTGAGTTTCACCTCTCCATCCAGTTGTCCACAGCTCAGGTGTTGCAACACCGTTGTCACCTCCAAGTGCCACATTGGCCGGTGCAGCCTTTTTTCAATGCCAGCTGCAATGTGCTTCTCTGCACCCGGCTTCCTGCCCATGTTTCATGTGGGGATTAGCTGGTTGAAAAAGCCAACCCAGCAATCCATCAAGCTCCTTTAACAGACTTTGACAGTGGCAAACAAAAATTGACGTCCCAAACTAATTGGCTTTCCTCCTTCCAGTATCAGCCTCATCTAGTTTAATTATAACAAATTACAACCTGGGAGCTCTTTTTATACACTGAAGAAGTTTCTTTTCAAGTTGGGAAAATGTTCCTTCCATGTACAGCTCCCACATCTGCAGGACATTTTTTGCAAACAAATTCAGCTCTTACCCACCACGGTAAGCGTTTTGACAGAAACCTGTTCTATAGTGCCCAACATAGCGATGGGGCCGTGTCGTTGCCTGCCAGAACAGCGCGTTTACAGCAGGGTGGCTGGGTTGGACGCTGAGGTCATGTCAGAGGCTTGACGGGTTAGGGCTGCATAGGGTGGAGGGTGCCCTCGTCAATACAGCCTCAAAGAAGTGGTCTCTCTCTCCTCTCTGTCCAGGGAGCTGACTATCCCTGCAAGCATAACTGGGGATCAGCCTGAAAGATTCATTAGTTTGCAGAGGGTTCATGAGCGAACTAATATATGTGTTATGGACAATCAGGGAATTCAGATCTGTGAAAATGGGCACATAAAGAAGATATTTCATATCAAGATTACTGCTGCAGGGTTTGCCCCTTGGAGCTATGTCTGCATTGCATGCTGACGATGTGCTTACAGCATACCAGAGCAGCCTTGATCACCCAGGAGTGCCAGGAGCACTCTGCTTCACTGTAAGGGGGCACTAGGCTGTCCAGGACCCTAAACAATTATTTAGCAGCTAAGGACACAAATCTAGCCTGTACTGCTTGCTCTTTGACAATTACATATAAGATGCGCTGTTTTCACGAAGTTGATAGGCAACTGCTGATAAATGATGGTTTCTTGCTGTAATTTCCATTTCCTTCACACAAGTTGTAGTTTGAATGTTTATCTTTGATTTTAAACAAATTAAACATCCGGATTTAATTCCTGCCTCCACATGCATCCCTGCTGGTCAGCCACACAACACAGTCCTGGACGTGACAGCTTTGTGGAATAGCTGCCCTTGCATGGTCTATTGCCTCTCAAAACCAGCAACAGACTCTGAAGATAAACAGCAGCCATGCATAAATAATACCAGGAAGGCAAAAAAGATTCTCCTTGTTTTGCTTATCCCCCTAGGACCCAATATCACTTCTTTAAGCTTTCTGTCCCAGTTTCCTATTTATTTCACACCAGCCATATGCAACCAGGCTTTCAAAACACTCCTGTAAGTCAGTGCCAAGCAGACTCGCTGAAGCTGAATTATAAGTTGGCTGAATGTGATTCCAAGAGTAATCTAATTTCTCTTTTTCCACAACATTGTGTACCTGCCCAACCAGTAGACCATCATATACAAGGAAGGGTTACAGCATTTCCTAGCACGTGACATATTTGGAAGGAGAACTGTGTTACAAATGAGCAAACAAATCAGCTCCCCATGTTGGCCCATACTATTCAATAAAACGTCACTAGGGTGTACTTACCCTGCTTCATCTGTGTAGCCAGAACCAGAGTGGCAAGCAGGTAGAGAGTCCCAAGTGCTGGGGCAAATGAAAGCCAACAACTTGTTTAAACAACCTTGGTTTGATATTAATAATCCGCACTGTAACATGTTGTTTTTCTTAGCAAATAAAGCTGTCTGGCTTATAGGTTGCAGCCAGATCCTCAGGTGTGTGATAACCAGTAACCTTCTATGCCACTCTTACACATATATATTCACACTCTTGTTCTGGTTTCTAAAGGCCCTGTAATTCAAATAAGTCTGTTTGCCCTG